AATAACGTGAAAATATTTCTGGAAATAGTAAAATTATATTTGTGTAATAAAATCAGTAATCATCTACTATAACGAATTATTTGTTATACATACCACATAATTCATTATAGCATTAACGAAGATTCTTATAACGAAGTCCTGATCGGTTAGATCAGCAACTTCATTATATCGAGGTGTGACTGTATACTCTATGACTATATAGATTCTTAAGATAGATTCTTAGAAACAGAGCTCCTACCAATTCACAAATTTACTACAACCCTAAAAGAGAAGATCTCGCAGAAGGACTATCAACATATCCAAAAAGTATGGAATACATTCAACTGTAAGAATTTAGGTAAGTATCATGATCTTTATCTTAAAATCGACGTACTCTCTCTTGCCGATGTCTGGACTCAATTCTGAAAGACATGCATAAAATATTATGAACTCGATCCCAGCCACTATGTTTCAGCCCATCTTTATCCTAGAATGCAATGTTTAAGAAGACTGAGGTTAAGATTGAGCTATTTACAGATATGTCAATGTATGACTTCATCGAAAGGCTAAGAGAGGTGACATATCTAAGGTTTGTAAGTGATATTTCAAGACCAATAATCTTAAGATAGGTAAGGCATTCAACTTATTCAAACCCATATCATGGATCTCATATGTCGATGTAAACAATCTTTATGGCTGGGCTATGAGTCAGTTCTTACCTATTGAAAATTATCAATAGGAGGCTAGCTGGGAGTATTTACTTAAGAATCCAGCTATGCAAAAGAAATATCTCAAAAAGATTCTTAAGACTAAGTCAAATGATCTACATGAATATTTCTTAAACATTAAAGCTCATTTCCCTTTGAAGACCCATGATTATTTGAGAGATTTGCCTTCAGCAGTAGAGAATATCACTGTAGAAAAAAATTGGTTAAGTTCATATAATACAAAGCTTGTAAATAACTTGGATGGTAGGTGCTTCTCTAAGACAGAAAAGTTAGTATCTCATCTTGGCCTAAGAAATGATTATGTTATCCATTACCAAGAGCTTCAATACTATGTGAAGTTAGGCATGATTATAGATGAGGTTTCAGAGATCCTTTCCTTTGATCAGACTAACTGGCTCGCTCAATATATTGTATTCAATACAGAAAAATGACAAAAGACTAAGAATGCCTTTGAAAAAGACTTCTTTAAGCTCATGAATAATTCTATATATGATAAAACTATAGAAAATGTTCGCAAATATCAGGATGTCAAGCTCATAAAAATGAATAATGAGCGAGATGAAAAGGCATTCTTAAATAAGATTAATAAGCCATCTTTTAAGTATGGTAGATAGCTTGGAGATATACTAATAGAAGCGCATATAGGAAAGGCCAGCATGACTCTCAGTAAGCCTATAATAGTTGGAGCATCAGTATTAGGTCTTAGCAAGCTTCACATGTATCGCTTCTGGTATGGATATGTAAAGGAGAGATATGGTGATAAGGCCTAGCTTGGCTATATGGATACTGATTCCTTTATATTTTAAGTCGAGACTGAAGATATTTATAAAGACATGGCTGAACGTTCAGATCTCTTTGATCTCAATGATTCTAAAACTATAGGCCTTTATAAGGATGAGACTCCAAGAAATGTAATTACAGAATCTATGCATATTTGTTCTAAATTATATCACTATGTCTTAGCTGATAAATCCACAAAGTCTAAGCATAAAGGGGTTAGTAAAAAGGGTATGAGTGAGATGGTAACAGATACATATATGCCATCTTTAAAGAGATCCCTACTAGATAATCTGATAGATAAGTTCTCATTATTGAAGCAAGAAGCTAAGGAATTAGCTATGCGAACTGAGACAGACCCTATGACTCTAGTCTATCGAGATTGTCTCTTTGGTAAAGAAGTATTTTATGCTAAAAATGTGGGTATCCAATCAAAAGATCATGTATTATCTCTGGTCAAATCTGAGAAGAAGGCTCTTTGTCCCATAGATACCAAATGCTGGATATTATCAGATGGGATAACTACTTTACCATATGGGCATTGACGCAATATGATTTATAAGAATATGGTTAAAGATATTATCTCTCATGAAGTGGCTGAAAAAAGAGCTATAATTGCAAAGCTCCCAGAAAAGTATCGCTCCTTTAATGTTAAGCATCTGCAGGAGAAAATATATTAAGAAAGAAATACAAGAATACCAAAATTTTGAATGACAAATACCCTCTCCTGCAATTCAATAGAATAAGGGGACTGAATTAGTGAAATGTCTTGAGAAGTGTCTTAAATGTCAGAGTATTATTATATATTTTTTTTCTTGTAAAATATATATATATATTAAGTAATACCCTCTAAAATCCTCCATTTCAACTCGCATTAGCGAGTTAAATATGCCATACTGAATCTTCAATTGATTCATCGAGCTACACTCCTCCAGAACCCTATCTTATTACCTTTGTACCTTACATGGTACTCTACATTTCTCCTTCTTCTTTCATCGACTAATAAGTCGATTTCATTATCCAAATATAGCAGTCAAATTTTTCTAAGCAGTTAATCATGTGACTTTCATATGACTCTCATCCCAAATTATAAAATTAATATAATTCTGACCAGCATTAATATACAATTTTAATGTATCATGCAATATACACAAAAATTTTTTTATTAAAAAATTATTTAAAAGACATCAAATATCATGAAGTAATATATTTATATTATTCTATATCTTTTATAACGCTTAACTGCATATTCTGCTTGCTTTGCATCCAATCCTTTTCAATATATATCCATATATCTATATGATTTTCTACAAATACTCTAATATGAGATAATAGAACTTGATTTAGAGCAATTAGCATAATTCGTTGCAAACCAATCCAAGTATAGTTATAATTTTACGAGAATATTTTTTGGATGCTTCTCAATACATTTAATAAAATTTAATTCAGGATGAAATTTTGAATAAAAAATTACTTTATGATCTCGTTCTTCAATAATTTCTTGAATCATTCCTTTTTGAGTAAGAAAATCAGGTTAATTTTTAAGAATATGTCACATGCAGCATTGAATATCTTTTGATTCATTATTATGATAATATCCTATTAAGCCCGATTTCATTAACTGACATTTTTCTAAAACTTGTCTCATACTTTTTAATTTTTCTCAAAGTGTTTCATTAAAATAATCATCAGAAAAATTCATACTTTGAATTTGTTTATTAAATATTGTATTTCTTATTCAAGGTTGCTTTCCATCAGAATTTATATTCATATGTGATACAACTAATGCATCAGGCGTAAAAGCACCATGTAATGTGAAATTATTAAATGCAAAAATACCAATAGCATTTAGATGAGTTGTTTCAAATATAAGAATTGTACGTTAAATTATTTTAAATAAAAAAAAATATTTATTAAAATAAAAAAAAAAATAATTAATCAATTACCTGTTCAACTAATTTTTCAACAGTTCACCAACCATCATGATTTTTTTCAGGGTTCATTATAACTCAGGTTTCATGTAGAATTTTATTTCTAATTTTAGAAAGTTTTTGTTCTTTATTTAATTGCAATCAACCAATTGTTTTATAAATAAAATCACTTATATGAATAGCATGTTCTTATCCTTTTTTTCATAAAGGCTGTTCATAATTAGGAGCTTATTTAGAATTTCTTTTATCATTAGAATGAAATGTGATTTCATAATGGGTAACTAAAATATGAATTTGTTCATTTGATTGCAAATCAGGATTAATTTGAATTTCCATTTCATCACCTTCAAAAATCGATATAAAAAATGAAAATAAATAAATAAATTGTGGTTTTAATCAATATTGCATGATTAACGTGATACTTATATTTTCATTTCCTTTAAAAAGATTTTTCGATATTCCACTACATCTTCATGTTCATGCTCATCCACATAAAGTTCCTTTTAATATTTTTTATAATAATAACCCATTTTCCTAAACCAATTTCTTGCAGTAGTTTTGCTAATAATTAATAATTATAAATAATAAATATTATTTAATAATTAAAAAATTAAAAGAAAACATTTACCTAATTGTTATTTTTGTTTTAACACCAAGTGATAGAAAAATAGTATTTGTAATATAATCCACAAAATCAGCAACATAAAACTCAAATTTTTTCTCATAAATAAGAAGTAATTTGCATTTGAATATCTTCACCATTAAATAAACTTTTTACTTTACAATGCTTTTCTCGTTTAGAAAATGGGATAGATTCTCTATTTTGCAGCATGCAACTTCATAAATGAAGACATTTAGCAAACTATAGTCCTTTTTTAAGTTGTTATATAATACTAAGACTAGCTTCTAGTTTAGAATCTTGAAATTCAAAAAGTTGCATATATTATAATATAGCAATTAATCTTAATTTATGACTTTCATCTAAATTCTTTCTTTTAGTTGTGTTTCAAGAAAATTAATTACTTGTTGGAAATAATCATCATCATCATTAGATTCATCTTCAGATTCTTCGCTTATTTCATCACTTTCATTAGATTTGCAAAAGAAAAAAATGATTAATTGTTTGCCCATTATTTTAGCATTTCTTTTTGCTTAGACACAATATCTGCGTTTAGTTCTTACAGAATTTTCTGTATAAGTTGACTTGCAGTTTGATGGGATATAATTTCACATTTGATCCATTAAAATTTAAATCAAATCTTCTCGATTATTATTCAAATCATCATCTTCTCATATAATTTCTTCATCATTTTTCGCATTATGAAAATTTTCCACAAATTTTTTTCATTATTTTCTACTTTAAGGTTTATTTCGACCATTTGAACATGTTTCTTTTATTTTTTTTAGCAAGATTTTTTATGTATTTTTTCTTTTTGATATACTGGTTATCAAACTTTATTTTCAAAATAGAATTGTAAAAAGCAAATTACATATGATTACATATGCATCATTTAAATTTATAATTATGTTGATCTCTGATAATTTTACTGCATCTTTCAATGGAAATTTAATGTTAAAAAGTATTAAAAATTAAATTTTTAACCTAAAATTTGATAACCAAATTGAGGATATTTTATATATGTACATATAATTTTTTGCTGAAGTAAAATACACATAACTTCTTATACATTGATCTAATTTGAAAAATTAAATCATACTTTATAATCCATGATCTGATCTATTAAAGTATGATGAATTTTTAAATTAATATTTCTTTTTTTGAAATATATAGCTATTTTAAGATAGGGTTTAAGACTTGATGCGACTAGGTACTTGAACTATATTAATTTTTAAAAAATTACTTTAAAGATAAATTTTAAAAAAATCATTTTATAAACAAATTTCTTTAAAAAAATTTTTAAGAAAAATCACTTTAAAATGAATTTTAGAAAAATATTTTGAAGGTAAAATTCTTAAAAAAAAAATTCTAATAACAAAATTTTTAAAAAATGATTTAAAAGTATATTTTTTTAAAAAAATTATTACAGAACTAAAATTTTAAAATGTTTTTGAAAAAATTACTATAAAAGTAAAATTCTTTTAAATAAAATACTTTAAAGTAAATTTTTTTTAAAAAAAATATTATTATATTGTTTCTTATATTACTAATGACTGAAAATTAGTATCAACATAAGATTAATAAAGAATTTAGCTTTAATTGATATTTCAAGAAGAACTCTAAAAGGTTTATAAATAAATATTATTTTAAGTGATAGCATGTGTTTAGAATAAGCAATTAGAATTTTATTAATAAATAAAGAATTTAATACAATTATATTTGTTACATATAAAAATTATTATTATTTATCTTGTTAGTGATAAAAATTAATTGAACTTTAATGGTTATTGAAAAGGTCTTAAAAAATTATATACAAAATTGTCTATCTCTAACCAAGTCCTAAAGCTATTTTATTTATATATTTATATTAATTTGCTAATGTAAATAAATAATATACTAATTGATTACAAATAATAAATGATTAATAATATATTTGATTAATAATATACAAGAAATTTTTGAAGTCTTTTGAGTTTCTTATGTAATCTTTGTTTAATTTATGTCTTTCATCTTTATTATCTTGTCATTTAATATAATGCAGTCAATATAATTTCTTTAGTCATATATATCATATCATATCAGTTTTTGGATTAATATTCTTTTATTATAATATTATTAATTAACTTATACTATTAATCATTTTATATTATTAATCAATTATTATTTTAATTATTTATATTGACAAATTTAGTATAAATAGAATAGCTTTAGAATTTGATTAGCAACAAACAAATTCAAAATAATTCAAGCAATTTAGATAATTTTCAGATATTTTAGAAATTTAAATTAGTTTTTATCATAAACAAAATAAATACTAATATTTAAAAGATCTGCAAATCTAATTCTAAGACTAAGTCTTTAGATCTAGAATCTAAGATTTTACTATCTCTAGCTAAGACTAAATAAATAATTTATATAGTGGAATTAGATCATTAAATTTAAAAAATAATACTGCAAGATATAATCAATTTATTATTCTTATTTAATAAAAAGATTTAGTATTATATGTAAAAAATATTATCAATATAAATAAATAAGATGATAGAATAATATATAGACTTTTAGTTTAAAAATTTTAAAATAATGTGTAAAAAGATGGTAATATATATATAATCAGATATAAAAGGATTATTTATATATTTATTTATCCTTGATAAATATAAATTTTATTTATTTTAAATTTAATAGTTTAATTTAACATTAATTTAATGAATTATTTATAATTTTATAGGAGAATTATTTGGTATATTTCTCAATTATAAATATGTCTTATAAACACATATTATAATGATAATACCGTATTTCTCTGAAAATAAGCAATCCCCAAAAATAAGTAACCTTCAAATTTAACTTAATACCTGAAAATAAGCAACTTAATTAAATTTTATAAAATACTATATATAAAAAAAAATTTTTATTTTTAATGTTTCAATATATAAATCACATTAAACATAATCATTAATATCGTCTTTAATATCATCTTCAATATCATCATCAATATTGTTACCACTATTGATGTTATCACTACTATTGATATTATCTATTAAGGATCTCTAAATCAGAATCCAAATCGATTGATATTTTACAAGTTTTAAAGGATTCTATAATAATTTCATCAGGAATTCTTTCTCAAGACTTTTTAATCTATGAATATACATTACTAAATCTAATGCAACAAAGGTTTTCCTTAGCAGTTTCTTCAGCACCACTATCAGTCATCCAAATATACTATTCTTTATGAAGATTATTCTTGAATGGTTTATTTATTACAACATCTAGTAGCTGACAAATGTTAGTCAACCCACCTGGAATTACTGCAAGATCAAAGCCAATTTCATGAAACTTTCTTTTTACTGATTTTTCCAAATGACCTTTAAAATAATCATATATAAGCATTGCTGGATTTTTTTGAGACCTGGTTTTTATTCTTATATCATTGAGATAATTTACATACTTTATCATTAAATCAGAGTCTATCTAACCATTTTTTTAGAACTAAATAATAATACCAGAGAAATTTGTTCTCCGCGTGATATTCTCTTTTCTTTAAAAATACATATTGGAGGAAGTTTAGTTTCATCTATAATAATAAATCAATAGTACTAGTGAGTAAATTTCGATTTTATTAAAAAAAAGAAAGCTTACCTGCAATACATGTAAATACTACTATAAACCTATTTTTTTCATTACCTATTATGTGAATATAGACTGTTTTTTCACCCTTTGGATTGATAGTAAAATTACCAACCATATCAAATCAAACAGGTGTTTCATCTATATTATAAATATTCCTTAATTCAAATGACTTTTCAATTCTTAGGTTAGTAAAAAATTGGTAAAACTTTTCTAATTGCTTTTTAGTTTGATTAGGAAGCTTCTGAGATATTCTAGTTCTTCTTTGCAATACTAACCTATATCTTTTCATAAAAGTAGTTAACCAGTGGTAAGATGTTTTAAAATTTGACTTACCATAAAGAACCTCCATATTTGGTTCTTTTAAAATTTTTAGCATTTTACTTCATATTATTGCATAGATAACCGCAAGACTTTGCTTTCTTTGTTCTATAATCTATTCATAAAGTCTTTTCTCAGTTTCAGGATAAAAGACTCCTCATCCAGAGTTAAGCCTCTTACTTAAAAATAGCGTCTCAATTAGTTGCAACAGGTGACAAATAAGCATCACAATGTTGCAACGAATTGCAACATTATTAAAATTTAAGTTGTAATAGGTAATAAATAAGTGTCACAATGTTACAACGCCATCTTTACTCTTACTTTTTCTTTTTGTTTCAATTGTCCAGTTTGAACTAGCTGCTATCCAACATCTTATCATACTATGATTGATGTCAAAGTGCTCTGCTGCCTTAATATAACTATATTCTTTTGCATAGGTAACGACTTGTATTTTTTGTTCGATAGAATACGAAGTTCATGTACATTTATTAACTTTTATAACCTTTCGTTTAACAATTCTTTTTTTGTAAAATGTGTCATTTTAGCTGAATAAAAAAATTTTTTCACGATTTTATGTGACATTAGATGATTAACGTGATCAATGATTACAGGATTTATTGATGAATTAGCAGATTTTAGATTGTACATTATAAGTTAATCAAACATACCCAAAAATAAGTAATAATATAGCAAAAATATGTTGCTTATTTTTTTTTATAATTTTGAAATAATTATATAAATAATATACAACAAAATATTTAAAAAAATAGTATTTATTAGCAAAAAGTTTTGAAATATTTATAATTTATGGTATTAACACATCATAATTATTACTTACTATATCTATTTTATCTATGAAAATATAGTACCAAAGTTTTAAATCAAATTTTTGAAATATTAAGACAGTTAGTTTCAGATTTTTGTATTATGAATTTTATAAAGTATTACGTAAAATAATGTATAAAGATAAAAATTCTAAAATAAGAAAATATTATGAATCTTAATGAAAATCATTAAAATAAGATAAATTATAAATGTTATTTTAATATTTATGTATTATAATCTAATTTTTTTATATATATATTTAGTATATATATTTGATATTAATACATTAGATTATTTAAAATTAATATTGAAATACTTTGTCAATAGCTATCAGATGATAACCTTTAAGATGCAATTATAATAGCATTTAAAAATGCAAATAGTTTTGCAAAGATTCTTAAATATGTTATAATCAATACAATTATTCATTACTTACTTTATTAATTCTGAAAAAGGAATATAACAATAATTATGAAACAATTATAGAAGAAAATAATTCAATTAAACAAATAGCAGAAAAATGTTTAGATTCATTAAATTAGATAACGAGCTTTATGAAAAATTATTACTAAAGATAATTTAGTTCAATGAGAATGAATAAGCAAGTAGCAATAAGACAAATAAGCAAGATGATTTTGAAGAAAATATTATTTATTAATCTAATACAAACTTTTCTTGAAGCAGAACATTCTAACTTAATAAAGTCTTCTGAATTATTATATATCCTTAATCA